GTTTAATTCTAAGAGTTAATAGAGCAGAAACTTCATCTTCCATGGCATCAAATACAAATTTCCAAACACAAAAGCAAAAACTTCAAATTTAATTAACCCAAAACTATAATTCGTTGAATACCTTGAAGAGAATTTCGAGCAATCAGCTCAAGGAAGGGACATGCAAGATGAAATTGAGGCCGCATGTGCCGCTATCAGCCACCACCGCCGGAGTGCCGCCTTCGTGATTTCTTTTCTTATTTTCTTCTTACAATTTTGGAGTATTTTTTTCGTTATTTTCGTCTCAAAATTTGAAGTATTTTTGGAGAATTGAAGTTATGAGATCTGAGAAGATGGGGAAAATGGTGAGAAATTGACAATGGGGAAAATGGAGAAAAAGGGGTATTGAAAGGTACTGTATGTCTTTCTGTACGTGAGAATTGAGAATAGAGGGAAGAACGTGTTCAAACTATTTGGTGAAAAAAATAGAGGGAAGAAATGCGCGCTTATTCTATATTTTCATGATACAACACATGTCGTTGCAATAGCTCTCATTTATGTTAAAACAGCTAGGCTATTGCAACGGTTCTTTACAGCCGGGCAATAGCTATACCTCTAAGAACATTAGTGTTAAATCCGTGGCAATAGCCTACTCTATTGCAACGAAAATTAGAATACCGTTGCATTAGCCTTTATTAGGCCGTTGCATTTGGTCAAAAATGTAGTAGTGCGATTCCTAGCTTTTCTAAAAGAGTCAAAAATCCACTTAAGTCCTTGATTGTCTTTGTACTTAGAATCTTAGAAGTTTTAATCTTGAGTTGTATTGGGGTAGAGTTTGGGTAAACTCTAGAGTGTGAAATTGCTTTGAGTGAATCAAGGAGAAAGAGAGAGATTTGAGAGATCAACTGATTGAGGGATCAGTTGAGGGGGAACTTAAGTTCGTAGAGGAGCTTGAGTTTAGAAGTCTTAATTTTTAATAGGTCGTTTTCCCTATTATTATTAAGAGTTGCGATTAAAATCCCTTGTGGTCGTGGTTTTTCTTCTTGATTAGGGCCATGAAGTTTTCCACGTAAAATCTCTCTTGCACTTTAAAGTTTTGTTTAAGTTTCTTTAAGAATTCCGCAAAAATTATCCTACTTCCTCAATAATACAATTCACCCCCCCTCTTGTATTGTTCATTCGAGTCAACAAATATTTAATTCATTTTTTACCCCATCAACTATACTGGAAATTACCCCTAATTTTGCTTGAAAGTTTTGACAAAAATCAGTCATAGCAACAGGATACAGATAATTTGCTGAAACTCTTGATAGCAAGAATTCCCAACCTTGGAACTTAATTAAATCAACAAATTCTAAAAACCTTGCTTTCCTACACCAAACTAGATCAACGCGGTGTCCTACAACATACCTTCCTGCCTGTGACTCAAGTTCCGCTTGATCAGTTACCTCCTCTTCTTCATCTTCCTTTTCAGATTCTTCATTTTCGGAATTGTTCTCATCTTCTTTATCTTCTTCTCCCTCACTCATCTCTTCTTCCTCTTGGTTCTCCTCTTCTTTTGTCTCTTCTGAATTTTTACCTTGAGCAAAATCGTCAACTTCCTCAATTTGCTCTTCAAGAGACTTCCCACTTTGTTTCTTCTCTTTCCACTCTTTTAGCCGTTGAAGAATACTTGAGACAGAGGATTCTCCTTGATCACTCTTACTTTCAACTTCTTTAGGTTTCGGAGGTGAGTTTTTAGGGTTTGCAGGAGTTTTGGAAGTAGAAGATGACTTGTAGTTCACCATGGCTAAAGGAGATGTTTCTTCTTGAATGGTATTTTCGGAGTGTTGAGAGTTTTCTAAGGAGACAATTTCAGCAATGATGACCATTGTTGATCTGGAGAAGGTTTTAAAGTTCAAGAGGGTTTTTTTACTGAGAAGAAGTTAATTGATTTGACAGTGAGGTGAAAGAAGTGGGTGAAATCAGCTTTTATAATTAATGAAGCGGTGTGAAGAAATTTAAGGGGTTTCACTATTCAGTCATTAATTGAACAAATTCAATTAATTTTCCAATTTCGAAATTACTGGATGAATCTTTCTAAAACTTTTCTTTTCAAATTCATTTAATTTAAAAGAAACTTTCTATTAATACACAATTGGAACACGCTTTTTACATATGTGCAATGTATATATTTAATAACTAACACAGTTAAGCAATTTAATGAACTTACCTTTGGTAGTTAACAATGGTGACACTTCAGTTATGCTTATCACACCAAGATTGTGCTAAATGCTCTTTTTGCTCTATTTCCATTATTTTTTACTTTGCCATATCTAGGAACTTCAGAAGCAATCAATTCAGCTTGATCATTCCAAGTTCCAGTCTCAATTTCTCAAATCTTTCTCTGTTCAAGGGTTTGGTCAAAATATCTGCAAGTTGATATTCCGTATTACAAAATTCCAATTTAATAATCCCTTGTCCACATTATCTTTTAGAAAGTGATGCCTAATGTGGATGTGTTTTACCTTAGAGTGCTGAACTGGATCTTTAGAAATACATATGGCACTTGTGTTGTCACAGTAGATAGGTACACATTAAAAAATAAGACCAAAATCTCTAACCTGTTGTTTTATCCAAAGTACTTGTGAGCAACATGCTGCTGCTGCCACGTATTCAGCTTCAGCTGTAGATAAAGCAACTGTGTTTTACTTCTTGGAACCCCAAGAAACTAAACAAGGTCCTAAGAATTGTACCATTCCTGAAGTGCTTTTTCTATTCACCAAATCACCTGCATAGTCAGCATCAGTAAAGCCATGTAAATCAAATGAGTCACTTCTAGGATAGAAGAGACACAAGTCATCAATTCCTTTCAAGTATCTAAGGATTCTCTTTACTGCTTTCAGGTGAGACTCCTTTGGGTTTGCTTGGAACCTGGCACACAAACCTACACTGAAAGATATGTCAGATCTACTAGCTGTTAAGTAAAGTAAAGATCCTATCATACCTCTGTACATAGGTTGATCAACACAAGTTCCAGATGAATCATCATCCAATCTGGTTGCAATACCCATTGGAGTATCATTTGTCTTAGCATTTTCAAGTTTGTATTTCTTGATCAGTTCCTTGATATACTTTTGTTGATGGATCATGATTCCTTTCTCAGATTGCTTTATTTGCAGTCCGAGGAAGAAATTTAATTCTCCCATCATGCTCATTTCAAATTCTCCACTCATAAGGTCAGCAAAATACTTGCACAAGGATTCATTAGTTGCACCAAACAAAATATCATCAACACAAATTTGTAAAACTAAAATGTCAGTTCCATTTTATTTTAAAAACAAAGTTTTATCTATTTTGCCACGTTTAAAACCATTTTGTAATAGGAACTTTGACAATCTTTCATACCATGCTCTAGGAGCTTGCTTCAGCCCAAAAAGAGCTTTGTCAAGCTTGTAGACATGGTTTGAGAACTCTGGGTTTTCAAATCCAGGAGGTTGTTCCACATTGACTTCTTCATTTAGAAAACCATTTAGAAATGCACATTTTACATCCATCTGGAACAACGTGAATCCCATATAAGCAGCAAAAGCAATAAGTATGCGAATAGCCTCTAACCTGGCTACTGGAGCAAATGTTTCTTCATAATCTATTCCTTCTTGTTGATTGAAACCTTGTACAACCAGTCTTGCTTTATTTCTGACAATAATACCATGCTCATCTAGCTTGTTCCTAAACACCCACTTTAGACCTATTGTCTTCTTATCTTTGGGTCTAGGTTCCAGATGCCATACTTTATTCCTTTCAAACTCATTTAGTTCAGCTTGCATAGCATTAATCCAGTTTGCGTCAGTTAAAGCTTCAACATAATTCTTAGGTTCCATAGAAGAAAGGAATGCATAGAATACACAGAAGTTCCTAAGCTGAGATCTAGTCTGAGTTCCTTTTGTAATATCACTCATGATTGCATCAACAGGATGTGATTTCTGATGTTTCCATCGTTTAGGTGTAAAGTCCTTCACTGGATACAATCTTTCCTGATCATTGTTGACTGGTTCTTCTATAAGAACTTGTTCTTGAGTCTCAATTGGAACCTCAACAGGATTCTCCTTATTCTGATTTTGATCTTGTTCTTGAGCAGGAGTTCCTGGAGCATTCTCTGTTTCTGGTTCTTCATTTTCTTCCAGATTCGTTTGCTCACCAATTTCCACTTGCTGCTTCTGCAATGATGTTGATTTTTCATCTGAATCTGTCTTGCGGACAAGTCCAATTTCAAAATCATTATCACACTCTTGTACATCATTTAAAGACTGTTCAGTTTTATCAAATATAATATGTACAGATTCTTCAACACACATTGTCCTTTTATTATAAACTCTATATGCTTAACTATTAAAGGCATATCCTAAGAATACAGCCTCATCACTACGTTCATCAAACTTTCCCAAGTTCCTTTTACCATCATTATGAACAAAACATTTACAACCAAAAGATCTAAAATAAGAAATATTAGGTTTTCTCCCTTTGATCAGCTCATAAGGAGTTTTGTTGGTAATGGCTCTAACTGATACTCTGTTAAGAATATAGCATGATGTATTCACTGCTTCTGCCCAGAAGTTCCTAGGCAAGCTACTTGAGATCAACATTGTTCTAGCCATATCTTTAAGACTTCTGCTCTTGCGTTCCACCACTCCATTTTGTTGAAGGGCCCTAGGGGCAGAGAAGTTGTGATCCATTCCATGTTCAGTGCAGAATTCATCAAATTTCGAATTTTCAAATTCTGTGCCATGATCTGATTTGAGGTGTATCAATGGATTACTTGTTCTTCTCTGTTCTTTCTTTACAAAAGCTACAAATTCATCAAACGTTTCATCTTTACTCACAAGAAAGAAAACCCAAGTAAACCTTGAAAAGTCATCAACAATAACCATAACATATCTCTTACCACTTCTACTTTGGATTATCATAGGACCACATAGATCCATATGAACAAGTTCCAACGGTTTTTTGGTACTTACCATTTTCTTGGACTTAAAAGAAACTCAAGTCTGTTTTCCTCTAACACAAGCATCACACACTTTGTCATACAAGAACTTGATACATGGAAGTCCTTCCACTAGTTCCTTAGATCTCAGTTTATCTAGTAGAGTAAAGCTTGCATGTCCAAGTCTTTTGTGCCATAATAAAGGATTATTCTCAATGACACTAAGACATGTTAAGCTGCTATTAGGAACTTCGTTAAGATCAACAACATATGTGTTTCCTTTACGAGTTCCTTCTAAGATGATGTTCCCAGTGTAATTGTGAATGATTATGTACTTATTAGAAGTAAATCTTACGGAGTTACCTTTGTCACAAAATTGTGAAGTACTCAACAAGTTGTGTTTGAGACCCTCGACCAAAAATACATTATCAATTGCATGGGAACTTGACCTTCCTACCTTGCCAATAGCAACTATATCTCCTGTCATGTTATCACCAAAGGTCACATTTCCTCCATAGTAGGCATCCAGTGAGAGAAATCTAGATTTGTCTCCAGTCATGTGCTTAGAACAACCACTGTCGAGGTACCAAGTGTTGTTCCCCCTCACTAGAACCTGCATGACAAATCAAGCATTAGGTTCAGGAACCCAGGTTTCATTGGGTTCCTGTGTAACAACAGTAGGTTTATTCTTTTCGATCCAAATTTGTTCTACATGCCTTTTGTTTTTCTGTGTACTCTTTTCTTTCTACTGGACACTTAACTTGTTTGTGTCCAGTATTCCCACAGAAATAACAAATTATACTACTAGGCAGGTCAACATACTTCTTTTCCTTTTGGAACTTCTTTTTGAAACCCAAACCTTCTGTTCTTTTGGTTTGAGCTTTGGTGATCCAGTCAGGAACTCTGTAATCTATAGGTTGTTTGCCTTTCCTGGCTTTCTCAAGTTCCCCCTCAAGTCTTGCTTTATCCGCTTTTATATTTTCTAAGTCAGATTTTAGTTTTTCAAAATTCGGATATTGAGCAAGTGGAGGAACTTCAGAATCAGGGGCATTAAGACAGAGTTTCATCAAGGATAGTTCCACATTCAACATTATGTTATCATGTTTTAACCTGTCTATAGTTTCTTTTAAATAATTATTATCATCAAACAGACTAAAGAATCTATATTGAATATCAAATTTCAGATTATCAACGCACTGATTGTTTTCTTTAAAAGTAACCAAAGCTTCATCACTTTTATGTTTAGCTTTACGCAAATCTTTAAGTTCTTCTTGAATTACCAAGACAGTTAATATTAAGTTTTCTTTAGAGAAATGTCTAAGTTCTTTTTGAGAATACCATACCTCAGACTCTAGTTCCTTCAGTTTTGCCTTCTCATCAATTTTGGCCATCAAACATAGATAGGCAGTTTCCTCTGGTGGTTGTTCTTCCTCTTCCTCAGAATCTGAATCTCCCCAAGCAGCTAACATGGTTTTCTTCATGTTGTCCTTGGTGAAGTAAGGCTTGTAGACTCTTGACTCTTTGGATTGCTCCTTGCTCTTAGTCTTTCCTTTCTCACTGTCTGGTAGTGGACAATCTTTAATGAAGTGATCTTTCGAGCCGCACTTGAAACAAGTTGTGTTTCTGGAACTTGCATATTTCTTGTTCCAATCAAACTTCTTGTAGTTCATCATCCTTTTGAACTTTCTGACTAGCATTGCCATTTCTTCCTCATCAGCATCTGATTCCTCTGAGTCTTGAGCCTTAAGAGCCAGACTCTTGTTTTTGGAACTTTCAGAATTGGAACTCAAATGTAGTTCATGAGTCATCAATGATCCAGCTAGTTGTTCCATGTTGAACTTTGTGAAGTCTTTAGCTTCCTGCATAGCAGTCACCTTTGATCTCCATCGTTCATCTTGTGGTAGACTCCTCAAGATCTTCCTAGCCTGTTCATCAATCGGAATGTGCCTGCTAAGGGAATTCAGTTCATTAATAATATCATTGAACCTAGTAAACATTTCCTCTATAGTTTCCTCTGATTGCATTTCAAACCTTTCATATCTAGACATCAACAAATCAATCTTAGAACGTTTTACCTCATTTGTACCTTCATGAGTTACTTCTAGTAGATCCCAAATCTGTTTAGCAGACTTGCATCCCATGATACGATTATGTTCATGAGGTCCAAGTCCACAATGCAAATACTTTATGGCTAAAGCATTCAATTCAAGTTTCTGATAATCTTCTTTATCATAATTAGAAATAGGTTTAGGAACTACCTCTTTATTTTCATTGGTTATGGTTATTTCAAAATCACCAGCTTCAATAACACACCAAACCTGGTAATTTTCTGCCTTAATAAAGATCTTCATCCTGTTCTTCCAGTAGTTGTAGAACTTACCATTGAACATGGGTGGACGTTGGGTAAAATACCCTTCTTCAAGTTTCTCTTTGTAATTCATCTCTCCAGGAACTTACTCAGCAAAGTTATTCGCTTATACGAGAGTACCTTGCTCTGATACCAATTGTTAGTTGAGACGATTAATACAAGAGGGGGGTGAATTGTATAGAGTTCCTAAAGACTACTTTTTGCGGATAAATAAACAATGCGTATAGGAACTTAAGAAAACACACAGATTTTACGAGGAAACCTTCCAGGGCCCAACCGGAAGTAAAACCTCGACCCTACCTTAGGGATTTCAAACACAAAACACTTCACTATAATATGACAAACACCACGTTACAACCTATTAGACACAGACCTTTATTTCACAAGTTCCTCACTGGACTTGCTACTTGATAGGACCCTATCCTACCCAATCTAAGCACCACACTTAGATTCACTCGTACCACCAAAGCACTACACGTGCTGCCAAAGCACAAAACACTCGTACCACCCCAGTACAAAACTCACAGCCTCACCAAGAAGCTAACACAAAACTGTATGTAATATAAACTATAGATATCACCTAAATAACCCAACCAATACAAATATAAGACACCTATTATGATAGGTAAGCAATGCACGAAATCCGAAACTAATATGATAAGTTAAAAGCTTGGTAAACTTACTCAATTAAGGCACTGTGATTTCTCCACGCATAAACTCACAAAAACCTAATTCATTTTGTTCTCTACTATTTATACAAGTAACACTTGTATAGAAAGTAGGTTTTCTAAAAAGATAAATATGTTAACTTAACTTATCTTTTAAACACGGTTTTAGCAAATCAAGTGAAATAAAATCTTTTCCGAAAATAAGTATAAAAAGATATTTATTAAGAATAATACTTATCTTTCTTAATAAACCGACTTTAGAGAAAAATAATCTTTTTAGAAAATCTTTTCCTAAAATCTATCTTTTATTATTCTCCATATTTATTTTATTTACCAAGCAAACTTATCACGTTTCTAATAAATTTCGTGCATTAACCTACTTACCATATTAACAATAATTTCTAAGAATAAAACCTTAACTATTATTGCTTCGCCGCACTCTGATCAGGTAAATTACTTGGGCTCCAAGCATATCAAGTTCCAACAAAAAACTTAACTGCTAGTCTTCAAGTTCCTGTTAGGGAACGTTCCTGTTAGGGAACTTAGCTCTTGTTAGATAACTCTTTCTCTGATTTGTTTAACTTCTTCAATAAAGATCTTCTTCATGTCTTCTTAGATTCAGATGGTTCTTCAATCGCCAAGATTATTCTATACCTTGACTAATCACACACTAGAGAATCTTTATTAGTTGAGTTTGCTTTTAGTTCAACTTCCTCATCATCAAAACCATTATGCTTCAACACCATAAGAGAAAGGGTCCATGAAAATCTCAAATCATACAATATGAACAAGAATTACACTACACCATCTAATAAACCAAATTGGTGTAAAAAGAACTTAGTTTAAAAATAAAAAGAAATAAAAATAAAAATATAAAACCCAAAAATATGACAGATAATTTGAAAGAAATCATACCTTGTCGTAGTCAATATTGATTTCTCCATTATATTGTAATCCAGATTTGTTGTTATTATATTCGGAGTTAAAATGTGTAACTTGTTTGGGAAGATGAGAACGAATGTCGTCGGAATTTGATTGTTGATGATCAATAATCATGGTTTTTGGTGAGAAAAAGCGACGTAAAGAAAACTAAAAATTAAAAAAGTGAAATTGAATAAAATGAAGATGGGTATGTTTTGAGGGGTTGTTCTTTTTGACTTCTTTCTCTTAATGATTTATTTATTTACTAGTTTATGATTTATAATTAGAGTGTCTTTCTTAATTGTGAAGAATGATATAAAATCGTTATTTTTTTGTTTATTAAATCTTATATATAACTAGTTTTGTGTCCGTGCGATGCCCGGGTTTATTTATAGAATTATAAAATAAATTTTAATCTTTATACGATTGAAGTATATTATTTTAACCGATTAGTATATATTATAAATGTATGTTTTATGCTTTGAATTATTTCCTTTGCCCAAAAAATATTATGATACAAAAAATAATTTATTAACTTTTAAGAATTATAATCTAATAATTTTTTTTAGTAAAATTATAATTAAATTTGCACATTTGAAATATTGGTATTTTATAGAAAATAAAACTAATTTTATCCTAAAATTCAATCCAAATATAATTTTAAATTAACTATTTTTATCTTATGAGGTCTATTTAAATCTATCCAACGTGGCGCGACACTTGGCGAAAAAACTAGAACGCCAAGTGTCGCAGCGTCGTGACCTGGCTAAAAGTTTAGCTTTATATATATTAGTTATATGATTGTAGAGTCAATTCACCACAACCCTCCGAATCACCAATATTCAAATCTCATGCATTTGATTTGATTTTTTTTTAAAAAAAAAATTACTTTTTTTTTTAAAAAAAAAATTACTTTTTTTTTAAAAAAAAAAATACTTTTTTTTACAAACCAATAACTACCCAAGTACCCATCCCACTATATTATTTATTTATTTTATAACTTAAAAAATAATAACATCAATAAGGATAATAACTAACCATCCCACTGCACCTTTTTTTTTTGTATTATTTTCAAGGAATTGCAATAATAAATAAAAACAATACTAACATTTCACTTTGTTTTATTTTTTATCATAGCACTCTAAATCCCCGACCCTTTAATTATATGCATATTTTTTGTGGACTATCCTACAAACAATTTCCACTCCCCTGAACATAAAAAAAAAATGTACAGCAAGCTATTTGGGCGAATGGCCTCACCGAATAGCTTCGTGCAAAAGATCAAAAATAGACCTATGACACTAACTACGTAACCCCTATAACAAAGAACATGTAACCTCTATAGATTTAACACACCCATACTTCCCTAATCATCAAAACAAAAAAAAAAATGTATTGCACGCTATTTACGCGACCGGCCTCACCGAATAGCTACTTGCAAAAGATAAAAAATAGTGGTTGCAAAAGACTAGTCACTCCTATAACCCTCATGGTGTAACCCTTATAACACTAACATGGTTACCTCTATAACATTGAATGGATAACCCCTATAGGACTGATAAAATAACTCTCATAATAGTTGCACACACGGTGTTATAACAGTTAGTTACTGTATCAAAATCAACTTCCCGTATTTTTTGATTTTTTTCTATTTTTAGATTTATTTTTTATTTCATTCTGTAAAATAAATATCCCGTGCATTGCACGGGTACACTCTAGTTATGAAAAAACAAGAGAAACTAATAACAAATCTAGAAAATAATAAGACAAAAAAAAAATAAACAAAAAACGTCAAAAACAAAGAGACCACAACAAGTAATTAAGCCGCCAAAGCCTAGAACCTTCCTCGTAATAATCCGTCCTCCCAAGTCCTAAACAGAAAATCTTGCATGGACCAGGACCACATTACTAACTGACATTATATTCAATATAGTGACCCGTAATTATATTATAATAACCTTATTTTTAACATAATAACATTTTTTTTAATTTGTGTGACGTTTTATGTTATTATGAATTTAAAGTACGACATTATGTTGAATAGTGACCTCATTTTAACATAGTGATCTTTATTATTCATATTGACCATTACATTAAAAATTTCATAAAAAAATTAACCTCTTATAACTTTTATAATGTCACACTGACTTTTATTTCAACGTAATAACCTTTATTTTACGAAAATTTCACCAAATGCCTCTGAGTTATTTTTTTATTCACCAAATACCCATCAAAATTTTTAAATTCACCAAATATTTCTGAGTTTAAGAAAAATGTCACCGTTAGTCATTAATGACTAACGGCGGTTAACACCGTTAGTCATTAATGACTAATATGCCACGTGGCAGCCTCTAATTGGTTATTGTAATATTATTTAATTAATTATTAAAAAAAACTTTAAAAATTAAAAAATTAAAAAAAAATACCCCACCACCCTAGACCCACCCCACCCCAACGCCCCACCACCAACCCAGCCCCTGCCAGACGGCGCCGGCCGCCAGCTCCCACCCCTTCCCCTACACCGGTGCCGGCAATCTCCCTCTGTTTCCCCTCCCCGACGAACCTTTTTTGCCCCACTGCACCCCCTGCCATCCCCACCCCATTTCTACCCTAAACCACCACCCAAAACCCGTTAAACCCCTTAATCGAAAAAACCCCAAATCAAAATCTAGGGTTTTGATTTGGGGGTTTTTCGATTTTTTTTGTGGTGGTATAGGGGGGAAATGGGGTGGAGATGGCGGGGGGTAGGGCGAAAAAGGTTCGCCGGTGCCGGGGAGGGGGTTTGGACGCCGGCCGCGAAGGAGGGGGGGTTTCAAAGGATGGAGAGGGGTTTTAGGGGAGGATTTCGGGTGTCGTGGGGTAAGGGGGTAAGGGAGGAGGTGTTGAGGGTGGGGGGGCTGGCCTCGCCGGCGGATAGGGACCACTTGCGACCGGTTTCGGCTAGGGGTAGGGGGACCATCGGCGGCCGTTGGTAAGGGGTTGGTTTGGTAGGGGAGGGGGTGGCTGGGGGTGGGTTTAATTTTTTTTTTTGTTTTTTTTTATATAAATTAAGTAATTAATTAAATTAATTAAATAATTAATTAATAGAGAACCAATTGCAGCATGCCACGTGGTATAATTAACCTTAATGACTAACATAATTAACCACCGTTAGTCATTAAGGGCATTTGGTGACATTTTTGTGAAACTCAAGTGTATATGGTGAATTTGAAAATTTTCATGGGTATATGGTGAATAAAAAAATAACTCAGGGGCATTTGATGAAATTTCCGTTTATTTTAACATAGTGACTTTTTTTTTTATTAATAAAACAATCATATTGTCTCTAATGTTAGTGGTCCACAATAAATTAGTGTGAACCAGGTCTATTTAAGAAATTTGTAAGTCCCAAGTCCTTCAATAAATAAGTTAGCATGATGGTTCGAAGAGACCA